ACACATTTTGGAGATCCCAATGCTCTAGCTTCAACAACACGTTTTTTTGAGAAACGAATTGGCGTATGCAGACGAAAGCTAAAGTGGAAACAAACCATTTTTGGAAAGTGAAGGCGGAATGATGATATACCTATTTTCTCAATACGAGATACCAATCGTAACGAAAATATTTCCAAACCAATTAGCAGGCCGAACTGAAATCAGCTTCAAACACAACATTTACTTACTAATTTCATACCGCTGACCGAGGCGTGGGAATCGACATACATACATAAATGTGTTAAAGTTCAGTTGAGAAGCCTAGGACTATTCAGATCATAACAATACTCGTATATAAATTGTTTTCCTTCCTACATTGAAAATCTAAAAGTTCAGTCAATTAATTTTATTGTTTTCAACTTCAAATTTTACAAGGCAATAAGTTGCAATTAGCTACAGTTAGTGGTGTATTTTTGGATTTTCGCTTTCAATTTGCTTACTCCACAGATTTTTAAGTATACTTGCGCGTAAGTAATAACTATCACACATTAATAGGCAATCGAATGGACCTTATTTATTTTTATGGATTCCATCATAGATTCCATCAGAACAACTATATACCTTAAATCCGGAAAATGAAACATGTTAAACGTTATGAAAACGTATAAATAGAGGAACTTACACAAATTCCTATGTACACATTTTGAACATAAATTGTTGGCATTCGTTTTTTTTTTTTGATAATTACACATGTATAAGTTTGTGCACATACATACACATATGTATCTACTATATAAAATGGTATTAAGTTAAAAATGTAGTTTTTTTTTCACAAGTACAAAATGCCAAAAAGTTCAAATCGATAGTAAATAAAGGTTGGACACGAGTTAAATATTTCGCTTAATTAAGTGACTTTAGATATATATGTATATTCACATAGTTTACAACTCGTCTTTCGGAATACGTTCTTCATTCCGTTTATTAAGTATCTGGCTTTCTTCGGCTGAGCCATCGGCGTGTGGTTGTGGGTAGTTCCAACTTTGAATTTCAGCTGTACCGTAGATTTGGAAAACGCCATATGTTAATATCGCTATCGCCGATGAGACTCCAAAAACTGTGCGCCATTGTTCAATTGAACTCTTTAAATGAAAAAGAAGCAATGAATTAATTAAAGTATTTCCGAAAACGACAGTTGTATAGTTAGTCATCAAAAGCATACCTCGTTTGTGACAATTATACCCGAAACCAGCGGGGAAAGAAATGATGCGGACATATGAATTGTTTGGCAAAAAGCAAGAACCGGCCCTGCCAAATTCGGTGCAATGTCAACAATATTAGCCATAGCGCCAGCATACGAAGCTGTTATGAATGTAACTGCCACAAACCAAATTAATAATAGTAATACAATATTCGTATCAATGTAGCCAATCCAGTATATTAGAATGCCAGGAACGACTTGCGACATGGCAGTAAAAATCTTACGAACATTTGTAAGACTCATCCCATCATTTAGCATCAATTTGTCAGCCACATAGCAAAATATTACAGATGAAATATAAGAGCAAATAAATGGCATACCGGACAGAAACCCATTTGCTTTGTAATTGAACTTAAGCACGTTCTTCATAAAATTCGGTCCACACACAATGAATATATAATGAATCCAAATTCTTCCGAATGTCGTTATTCCAATCGCCCAGGCAGGCAAAGAAGTGAAAATTGATTTCCACGGCACATTCATGCCTAATGCTTCTTTTGCTTCAGAGCTTACATTAACTTCAATATATTCGATTTCTTCAGCAGAAATACGTGGATGTTCCTTGGGCGTGTTGAATGCTAGGTAGTACCATAGTATACACCATATCATACCTAACGATCCGGTTGTGTAAAAAACATATCGCCAGCCAAAGTTGTCGATTATAAAACCACAAAGAGGGTACGTTAAACCAATGCCTATGCTAAAACCCTGAAAGCTTGACATGAATCGTGAACGTTCGGCCAACGGAATCCAAAAGCCAACTATGGCATACATAGCCGGCCACGTCAATCCAGATGCAAAACCTTGAACTGACCTTAGTATTATCACAGCAGAATAGTGAAAATCTGCACCGAATGGAATGCAAAGGCTACATATTGCAGTGGCAAATTGAGACCAACCGAATACTTGTTTTGTGCCAAAGTATTGAGTGGCAATCCCACCAACAACCTGTGAGAGCACATAGCACCAGTAAAAGGAACTTACAATTACTGACCTCACCGAAGGTGACCAATCGTAGACGTCGTCGCTATCTGCAGTCTATAATGGGGCTAGAAAATATTTAGGTTAAATTATTTATGAAGAACAGTGTTACCGTTTTTGCGTTTATCACAGTTCTATTGGTCGCATCTCCGAAAAGCGTCTGATTGGTAAAATCAAGCTGCAATGAGCTATTCAGTGAAAGCAATGTAGCGTTACTGGAAATAGTTGTGTTTGATGAATTCAACTCATCAGGGGGACGCACCATTGCCACCAGGGCAAAGTTTATATCGTTGCGCATCATAAAAGAAACCAAAAAACCGGACCATGATAAAAAGTAAAGAACCAAACGTGCTGGTATTCGAGCTGTAAAAAATAATTAAATATATGTATATTAGGGCGGGTCGATTTGTAGGGGCCCAAAAAAATTAACAGAGGCACATCGCGATTATGATTATTTGAGCATTTCAAGCATTTTTGCCCAAGAAACCGTAAGTCTAAAATGAATTTCGAGCCAGCGATTTTTTCTATCTAGTTTTTTTTTTTTTAAAGTGGCTCACCTGTTGAAACAGCTATATTGAAAACTAGCCAAATGTGTATCTGGGGGTTTTTGGGGTCGAGGAATCCATTTCTGGCATTAATTTTTTCTTTTGAGGGCCGCCAGAGGGCGACAATATTGTTGCGAAAATCCACGAAATTTGACTTTCTCATAATGCAATTTATTTTTTTAAATAGCCGAAAATGTTCAACGTTGAAAATTTTTTTTAATTTTTGTTCTTATTTTTTTTATTTTACATATTAAACACTGTCTGAAAATGAAAATGAAAACGCATGCTGTCACATATGTCATTTGTCATACAATATGTCGGTAAACAGTATTAGCAACATAATATTAAACAAGTAAGAAAGTCTAAGTTCGGGCGGAGCCGAACGTTAAATACCCGGCGCACGTATTAAATATATGTTTTTCACCTTTCCGAAAGCTACCGCTAGATGGTAAGCCGGGGTGTATCAATTTTGAGTAAATTAGCGTCCTTAAATTTCGAATTATTGAAGTTTCAAGCATTTCTGAAATTTACCGTTATATGAAAAGCGGCCGTAATTTTAGTCCCATTCCAATAATTTTCAACGTTTTTCTTTTATGTGGCAAGCACAATAAAAATACCAAGTTTGGTACAAATTGGTAGAACGGTTACCGATATACATATATGTGATCATAAGTGGGCGGTACCACGCCCATTTTCCAAAATTTTACCATAAACTTATTTCTTGGTAAAGAATTGTTGCAAGCATAAATTTTGAATAAATTAGCTTCCATATTTACTGATTTATCGAAGATTTTGTATTTCTCTAAATTACCGTTATATGGGATGTGGGCGTGGTTATTGTCCGATTTTTTAAATTTAAGGCCACTTAGTATGTTGTATCAAGGCCAACAACTGTGCCAAGTTTGGAAGAAATTGGTGCAGCGGTTACCAAGATATACACATGTAACCATAAGTGGGCGTGGCTACGCCCATTTTCCAAAAATTTATAATATTCTTATTTTTCGTCTAAAAATTATTGTAAATATCAATTTTGAGTGAATTATCTTCAGTAGTTACTAAAATATCGCAGTTTTCGTATTTCTGGAAATTACCGTTATATGGGATGTGGGCGTGGTTATTGTCTGATTTTTAAAATTTTCAGCCATTTAGTATGCTGTATCAAGGCCAACAACTGTGCCAAGTTTGGAAGAAATTGGTGCAGCGGTTACCAAGATATTCACATGTAACCATAAGTGGGCGTAGCTACGCCCATTTTCCAAAAATTTATAATATTCTTATTTTTCGTCTAAAAATTATTGTAAATATCAATTTCGAGTGAATTATCTTCAGTAGTTACTAAAATATCGCAGTTTTCGTATTTCTGGAAATTACCGTTATATGGGAAGTAGGCGTGGTTACAGTCCGATTTCGCCCATTTTCAATACCAACCTACCTTGGATTAAGGGAAATCTACATACCAAATTTCGTTGAGATATCTCAATTTTTGCTCGAGTTATCGTGTACACGGACGGACGGACAGACAGACATGGCTTAATCGATTTCTTTTTTCATCCTGATCATTTATGTATACATTAGTCTATATCTATCTCGATTCGTTTTGGCTGTTACAAACAACCGTTATGTGAACAAAATTAATATACCCTTGTGCACAAGTGCGCTCGAGTATAAAAAAATACGTTATACGTATTTAAAAACTGAAACATTAGAAATTGCATGTTTTTTTTTCATTTACATTTAATATGTTTTTATCTTTTAAGTTGAATTTTTGAATAAAGAAAATTATATTAAAATAAGAAAAAAATTTGTTTTGTAAAATTCAGAGAACAAATGAAAAAACAACGAATTTTTTGTCTTAAATTGAATAAAATCGATATAAGTTGTGCATGAATATACCTCCCTTCCCCCTAATTTTCAACGCTGAATATTTTAGGCTATTTAGAAATTGAAATTGCATTATGAGAAAGTCAAATTTCGTGGATTTTCGCAAAAAATGTTGTCGATTTTCGAAAAAAAGGCGTTAAAATCCAAAATAAGTACGGACGCGGCCTCTGGCGGCCCTCAAAAGAAAAAATTAATGCCAGAAATGGATTCCTCGACCCCAAAAACCCCCAGATACACATTTTGGTTAGTTTTCAATACAGCTGTTTCAATAGGTGAGCCACTTTTTGGGAAAAAAACTTGATAGAAAAAATCTTTGGCACGAAATTTATTTTAGACCTATGGTTTCTTGGGCAAACATGCTTGAAATATCCCAAATAACCATAATCGCGATGTGCCTTTGATGCAAAAAATTTTACCCGCCCTAACGTATATGTATGTATGCATTAAACATGGCAAAAATACAATAAATTGTCAACAGAATAAGATTAATGGAAAGTGAAATATCGCAGTTGCCTAGTCTGAGGGTACATATGTATGTATGTCGACATTCAGTTTTTAAATCCATTTTCTCTGCGTCTGTGAATATAAATTTTTGAAATATCAAACGGTGGGTATTAATGGAGTCCCCCCGCTCCACACATCTTTGATCTGGTTTTTAATATGTCCGACTAGCCGCTTTCTGTATAGTTTAACAAGATTTGTCTTACATTTACAAAAGGAATGAAGCGAACGTACATACAGTTGTGGTCTGCTGATTAAGTTAAGTGACATTTTGACTAGTTTTGGCTTATTTTGGCTATTTTTTCTTTTGATGTTTATAACTTTTTTATACAAGTCTAGCACATTACATAACCAGCACCCCACATATCCACATTTCAAACATCGTAACTTTACCCTACTAAAATTTAATGGGTTATAAAACTGCGTACCTAAAACATTAAATAACAATAATGGCCCTTATTATGAGTTGCATTCGATCTTCGATAACCAGCGTGAAATTCGTATTATGAGCTATGCAACAGGGTCGAAATTTTCGTTGAATATCGAATTTTCTGTCGAACAGAATTTTGCTTTCGATCGTGTTGCGAAGTGGTATGAAATTGTGAAAAATTTATGATTTTGCATTTGTTTTCTTACTTGTTGGCGGCTAGACACTAATTTAAAAAAAAAAATTTATTAACTACATGCAGTTCTAACGTCGTGAATACTAAACACAAGCTCGAAATGCTGGTTTTACTTGTTGATAGTTTTAAAATATTTTAAATAGATTTGGCTCACAAACGCCTCTTTAGATAGTCAGAAGTTTTTAATAAATCTGTAGGCAAATTTCTTAAATATATTTTATGTCAAAATATATTCGAAAGACTACACTTAAACCCTCTAAAACATTTTCTACTCCTGGCCAGTATACCAAGCTCTCATCCTCCGACGAATCGTTGAACCAGAACTCCGTTGTACTCATTTTTACCAAGTTTTTATAAACTCGCTTCCTTTTTCATTTCATTTTAATTTGCACAAATTTACATAAATATGTATAAGTACACTTTTTAGTTAGCTCGATTTGTAAACAAAGCTTCTCAGCGGTGAAAAATATACTATTGTGAACAGCATAACGAGCGAAATTCAAAATAGCGCTATAATTCATCGAATGAGCGTCATAATACCAAATGCAAATTCGTTCGACCAGCACTTTCGACCACAGTCGAAGATCGAATGCAACTCATAATAGGGGTCAATAATAATAATAGATTGGCGTTTACACATATGTTAGTGTTTGGCCGAGCTTCTCATCCGATTTGTGGCGTGCGCCTTGATGTTGTCACATAAAGGGGAGGGACCTACAGTTTTACGCCGACTCCGAACGGCGATTGTGTTCTTATGAGAAGCTGTTTTTCATGGCAGAAATACACTCGGAGGTTTGCCATTAGCTGCCGCGGGGCGACGGCTGTTAAGAAAAAAACCTTTTTGCTACATTTTTTTGCGATGTTGCTTTGACCAGCACAGTTGCTTACCACTACACCACAGCATTAAATAGAAAAAAGAAAAATAACCAAAACTGGTAAAGTGTCACTTAACCTAATCAGCTGACCACAAGGGTGTATATGGAAGAAATTTTATTTTTCACTACTTTATCTGTTTTTGTAGTTTTTGCTTTTCTGTTTTCCAACTATAATGAAAATATTTTCAGGGATTTGTTTTAAATTTCGTATATGACGAATCAAAACCTATTTTTATTCACTGACTCTCAAATGAGATCGGTGAAACAGTAACCGTCGGTGCGCTACCAACATATTGCTCAGTGTTCATTGCGGAAGCAGTTAAATTTGCCTCCAATACAGGATCTAAATACGTTATATGTACCGATAGCAAATCTACGATTGAAGCTCTCATAAACGGAAATACAGGAGGATTACTGATTGAACGCATACGGATGTATCTTTCTGAAAGCAATGGCAAAATACAAATAATGTAGGTACCGGGTCACGTTGGAATCAAAGGTAATGAGTTCGCTGACGAAAAAGCAAAATTATTTTCAAACCAACCTCTGCATCTATTTGACCATGTCACGGCACTAGACATCCGAAAATTAGCTCTCTCTTTTATCCATACAAGATGTGAAAATGAATGGACAAGTTATCAGCACACTTACAAGTCCTTTAACCCTAAGTGCACTAAACCTACATACTCACCAGACTATACTTGCCGAAAGCTAAGGATATTTGTACGTTGTAGGCTAGGCCACACGATAATGACGCATAGTCATCTCCACAAAGGCTCCACCAAACCCTGCTTATTCTGCAACTCACCATCGTTAACAGTAACTCACACCTTTATTTTTAATATTTTTATTGAGCTTTGTACCACGATTGTTTATTAGGAAAAATTACAAAAGCAACAAAGTCTAAGCGGTAGAAGTTATAGCAGCTATTTCACCACATCTCCTCATCAGACTTCTTTTTCTCTAGACTTCTCATCAGCGACAAGTGTTCTGGACTCAAACACAACAGAAAAATAGTTTTCGGAAACACTGTGCCTACCAACTACCTCAAATGGATGCATTTATAAATATATGTAGTTAATATCTATGAATTCTTAACTAGCTCCTAAATTCAACAAAAGCAGCCAGTGCTTTTAACTTCAGTGCAATAACTATTTATATGTAGTTTTTTGTCTCTTAAATAAAAAAAATTAACGAATACCAGCATATTACCAAAATATCAGAATGTACCTCACTGCAAGTGTCGTGTCAAGTGCAAAAGGCGTTGCATAAAATTTGGACTCGTATTAAAAGGGGAGAACTTGGCAGCACTGGAAAGTTTTCGACAATTTTTGTTGCCTACTTATTTTAAAACGACAGCAGACAGGTCAATGTTGTCGAGTTGTGCATATTAGCATAATTTTTCGATTTTAAATAGTTTAGAAAAGATAATATTACAATTCCAAAAACTTTAAAGCGAGAGTTTAAAAATGTGTGAGAAATTTAAATTTTTAACCGCATAACCGTACTTTGTTGAACGTGATTCTTATCGAAACTTACCATTAAGTTGAAAGCAAAAGTTAGTTTCCCTTTCATTTCGACTCTCTTCTGCGGAACCATCAACAGTTGAATCCTGGGCGATAGTATAGCATTTCGATGCATGATCTTCTGAATGTGATGAGTACATTATTGCGTTATCCGACTTAGCACCAAATTGAAGAGAAAAATTTTGTCGAATAGCCTTTGGAATGCGTGCAGTCATGTACATGTATATATATACTATATACAATATTAAATATAAAATGTAATTCGTGTTATCATTGAATGTTGATAAAGAGGTCTGATTATTCGTCGAAGCGTTGTTGTACATATAAAGCTAAAATTTCTTGTCATACTACATTGTAATACATATATATCAGGTACAATGTTTGCCTTTGTACAACGCCTGCAAAAATAAAAAAAATAAAAAAACAGTAAATATGCATTGTCTTTATACACATATAGTTATTTTTTTAACAATAATTAATTCTTCATCCAGAGAGGCTTAATGGAATTCGAAATACATACATACATACATTTGTCCACAAAATAATAGGAGTCTTTTGTTTATTTACTATTTATTATTTGTTTATTATTTTTTTATAAAAGTCTATACAATAGACTATATAAATTCAGATATCAAACTTTGTACAAGAATTATAAAAATTTCACAAATTTTCACCCAAATTTCACACTTTTTAATCAGAATATTTAGAAAAAAATTTTGGTATGCAGTTTTGTAGCCCATTTATTTCTAGTACATTTAATAAAATGCAAGTTTCAAGTTGCTAAAAAATCCCGTTGATTTTAAAGGATTTTTTTGTTGAAGATGTTTCACATTTTTTCCATGTTCGATAATTTTCTTTTTATAGGACACTGCTAGCAAAAAATGCCAAAAATCAACGGAATGGGCTACCAAATTGCATACCAAACTTTTTTCTAAAGATTCTGATTAAAACGTTTCTAATTTTGGGTGAAAATTTGCGAAATTTTTATAATTTATGTACAAAGTTTTAAATCTGGATTTATATCGTGTTTTTTTGTATAACCGGCAAGACTTATATAAAAAAATAATAAACATTAAATAAACAAAATACAAATAGAAAAAACTGGTCAAAATATCGCACCCCTATTATTTTGTGGGCAACTGTATGTATACACACGGCGGCAGATTTCTTTCGAAAGTAAATTCATCATTTTTTATTATCCACCACAGTAAGAAGTAAATATATCCACATAATGTGTACATTTGTAATGGAGAAGTAATCAGTTCAGAACTACCAAGACCGAATGCAAAAAGAAAATCATATGACCAATGCGCATGGTTTGATATAAAAGCTATTTTTAATATGTGACCTGGTCTACGGAAAGGGAGGTTAGGTGTCAAAAAAATCAATTTTCACTTTTTGGTTGATTCGGATGGAAGATGAGATGATTTTCACTTTTAACAGCTTTTTCACAGAAAACTTTTTTCTCACGTAAGCTCCCTTTTCGTAGACCAGGTCACATATATAATTATTATTTAATATTAACGTATCTTAAAGTAGTAGTGTAGCGTTAACGAGTTGTTTTTATGTTATAGTCAACTTCATTAGCCTCAAAAACTTCCACCAAAGTCATTCACTCAACGACCATTATTTTCAACCGCTTAAAAGATCCCAGCAAGGAACTTTACCACAGGCGAATACAAATTTTGTGGAAGGCAGCTCGATTAATTAACCCTTCTTATATTTCTTATGTTAATGTTTAAGAAATACACATCTCACATCTTCAATTTTTACCTGGCATATCCTGGATTTTAAGGATTTCGCAAAATTATTGTTTTAAAATGTATATTTATGAGGTTGGTAGCTTTACGAAAAGTAAAATCTAAATGCAAAAACTTAAAATTTTTATTATGTTCTTTCATGTTTTTTATTTGATATTTTCAACCTCTTAAAATCACTGAAATCTGCTGTATATTTAATACTTGGTACTAGCAAATGTTTTGACCCCTATTATGAGTTGCATTCGCTCTTCGACTGTAGTCGAAAGTGCTTATCGAAGGAATTTTCATTTGGTAGTATTATGGCACTATGGAAGAAATTAGTACAACGGAGTTCTGGTTCAACGATTCGTCAGAGATCGTGCCAACAGAGTATTGGGATTTTCTTTCATAAGTAAAACCAGACTTTCGAGCTTGTGTTTAGTATTCACGGCGTTGGAACTGCATGAAATTAATAAAATTGTTTAAAATTTGTGTCTAGCCGCCATAAAGTAAAAAACCTATATAACTCCGATGGAAAAACGGTCCCATTTCTTTTTTTTTTTTATGGAGAGTGATGTACCCTTATATACACAACATCACTTTTTGTTTCATATCAATATTTTATTGTTATATTTTCTTTAGCTTAAACAGCATAAATATATTGAAATTTGGAAAAGGTGGGAAATCTTCACTGATTAAAGTTGGTTTAACCTTAAAACCGGTCTTTGGAAAGAAATCATTGTTATACTTCTTTCGATTGAAGCCATATTGTAATACTTTATAACAAAAAAACTCTATTGGTTTTGAGCAGGTGGCAACCCCCTTCAATTATTTGCAAAACACCTCATTCGTTTGTCACCCATATTGTAATACTTCATTTAGGTTATTAATAAAATTGAATTTGACCTTAAAACCAGGTGGAAATGCTTTTACAAATGTTTTGGAGATAAAGATTTTTTAAAACGTTGGCATGCATACTTTAAAACTTCCTTGAAGTTATAATTTAACATAGTATTTTAAATTTGCTGCAGGTGGCAACTCTCTTAAAAAAATATGCTAAACGTTAATGCAGGCCATAAGCTATCTGTATCGAGCTACACAAGCTTTCACATTAATAATATTGATTGATTTTAGATCACTAAGCTGGTGGAAATCCTTGTTTATCGTTTGATACCCATATTCGAATCTTTTATTTAAATAGTTAAAGGGTGGCAGCACCCTTTAAAACCATTTTTTATAAATTAAGCTTTCTTAAACCTCTGCACTTTGATACCGATTTTAAAATATTTCGTATAATTGGTTAATTAAATTGATTTTACATTTTGGCAAACTTCTTAAGGATTTTTTTCGAAATAAATCGATGTTTATTGCTATAGTGTCTAGCCGCCAAAAAGTAAGAAAACAAACGCAAAATAAAACATTTTTCACAATTTTCTAACACTTCGCTACACCAACGAAAGCAAAATTCTGTTCGACAGAAAATTCTATACTCAACGAAAATTTCGACACGCTTGCATAGCTCATAATACGAATTTCACTTTCGGCCTTCGATAGCCAGAGAATGAAGTTGCAAGATTTTACCCGAACTTCTGGTAAAATCATGAAAAGTGTCAAGCAATCACTGGTTGACGTTTTTACAAGAAAAATGGTTTTTTCCCGTACTTTTTGTTGTTACTCACTTTTTACTCTCACTTCAGAGAGTACTTTTGCTGTTTGACCGTTTTACAGGATTTTTCACGAAAAGTATTGGATCAGAGCTATTATGAGTTGCATTCGATCTTCGCTGGTTATCGAAGATTGAGTGTGAAATTCGTATTATGAGCTATGCAACAAAGTCGAAATTTTCGTTAAGTATCGAATTTTTTGGTCTAACAGAATTTTGCTTTCAATGCTGTAGCGAAGTGTTACGAAATTGTGAAAAATGTATGATTTTGCATTTGTTTTCTTATTTTTTGGCGGCTAGACACTATTTATAAACAATTTTGATTAACTTCATGCAGGTCTAACGTCGTGAATACTAAACACAAGCTCGAAAGGCTGGTTTCATTTATGCAAGAAAATTTCAATACTCAGTTGGCACGATCTCTGTTAACAAAATCGTAGAGCTGTTGATAAACTAAACAAAATTTAAATAGATTCGGCTCGAGAGCATTGCTGCAGCAGGTTTTGTGTAGCGGACAGGAGGTCTACAAACGCCTCTTTAGACAGTCGGAAGTTTTTAATAAATCTGCAGACAAATTTCCTAAATATATTGTATATCAAAATATATTCGAAAGACTACACTTAAACGTTTTCTACTCCTGGGGGCCAATGCCTCTTCTGTGAAAACGTGAAGTGAAAACATTTTTCATCACTGCACATAAAATACAATTCTCTTTTCAAATAAAAATAAATTAATTTGTCAAAAAGTTTTCACTGGGAAAACTTTTTTCACACAGTTTTGTGGCAAGGAAAAAGGAAAATTGGACATTTTTCTCAAAAACCATCATCTTGTGATAAAGAATATCATTGTGTTGAACTCACAATAATTTACCAAATACTTACGTGCCATACGTTAATGGAAAAGCCTTTAATGATCGAGAATCGCTTAAAATGATATAACGAAATGATAAAATAAGCAAATGATATTCTCACTGACATTGAAATTTACATTTTCACAGTTTCATAGATCCACAATTGGCCCCCTAGCCAGTTTACTTAGCTCTCATACTCTGTCTAATCGTTGAACCAGAACTCCGTTGTACTTATTTTTACCAAGTTTTTATAAACTAGCTTTATCTTATACTTCATTTTAATTTGCACAAATTTACACTATTTAGTTCGGAAAGCTTCTCAGCGGTCAAATATATCCTATTGTGAACAACCCAAACGAGCGAAATTCGACCAGCACTTTCGACCACAGTCGAAGATCGAATGCAATTTTTAACAGAGGCCATAGTGAAAACGAGTGAATATTTTTTAGAACTTTTTTATTTATCGTATAACAAAATGACTAAATCTTATAAATATTGTAACGGCTGACTTCCAAAACGTACCATATACATTGCATATTTTGAATATCCAATATTGCAATGAACAAGCTTTAATTATGTTTTACGTGTGTGTAATCAAATTTTGCAACGAATTTTTAACCAACTTATCGATGAGCTAGAAACTTGAAACTTTAAACCAAGGCGAACTAATATAAGGTGATAGCAGGAGTACAAAAACAAAAATTTACATGTATTTTGTTTTTGCTTTGGCGGCATAAACTGTCAAAATCTGTAAGAGTGTGTGTAGAAATTCAAACAAAATTTTTCAATTTGATATCAGAAGCCGTGCGGCGAAACACATACACAAAATCAGCTGAGCTAGTAACACCACCTTATATTAATTCGCCTTGCTTTAAACTTAGCTCAGAACCCGATGACAATGCAACGTAAAAGAAGAATCAGTCCGCTAGGTGACGCCGTTGACGAGATATTTGAAAGATATTTGATGTGGTTCATATTTGGAATGTACATACTTATATTACCTACATGAAAAGGAATTTTTCGGTATTTTGTGAACGCAGCACATAAATATTCAGTTGTAACGTCACACATTTGTTCAATATTTTTCCATAACTTTGTACTTTGTGCTCGGGACGTTTAACCCGCAAAATTTGTTGCCAACATTCCTAGGCAGGGAAACATGATGGAAATATGCGACTACTTTTGAAGAACGAGGGCTATTCAGGGATTATTTTCAGACTCTGATTTCGGCCACGCAAAATGCAGTGAATAGCATCGA